CCTCATCCCTATTAAATAACTACTAAATAATTAAAACATCGGCAGAACGGCGCCAAACCGTCAAGGCTCCTTTTTTTCTCCCAGTTCCCGCTGGAGCTTGCCGGCGTTTTTCCCGTTAAAACGGAAAATTCCATGATTCGCGCGTGGGGCGATTCCCTGTTTCGATGTGATTCTGCGCCGGTAAACGCGCAACCAACCTGCGCTGCTCCCATTCTTCCAAGAGCTGTGCAGTTTTCTTTTTCCCCTCCTTCCTCTTTGTTCAAATTTCGGGCTTTTTCTCTCCTCGCTGGCCAGGGAGCGACCTCCTGGCGTGAGAGAAGGCTTAAAAGCTTCAAAACCCAATAAAATCCCTCAGGAAAGGGGGGAGGCCGGAGGGAAGGGAAAGTTTTGGGGGAAAGAGCGGTGGATTTGGTGAATCTCACCCCGCCCCCAGATGCCAGCGAGGATTTGGGGTGGCGGGTTTGGGGGCCGCAAAGGAGCATCTCTGCCCCCCGCGCGTCCGAGTGCGACGCTGGGATGCTCGAAATCAGCCCCAAAACCCCACAGTGTTTTAATTAATATTAAACCGAGCCTTTGTGAACATAATTTATCCTTAATGGCGCTAATATGCTGGGGTGGGGGTTACGTTGCATGCTCTGGAGTCCTTTTTGGTCATTTTTAACCCAATTCTTTTTTAATAAAAGGATTCGGAGTTGTCCGGGGTTGTTAGCAGACCCTCGGGACATAATGCGGGTTTGGCCTCAAAATTAGCCGGTTTTGGGCTTTATCAGCCCAGGGTCCCCTTTTGCCCCAGGCTCACTCAGCCGGTGGCCAGTTTTCTGCCCCGCGGGGTTAAATATCGTGATGAAGAGGTCAGAGGTGCTCCCCCAGGACGTTTTTTTTCCTCACAGAAGATGTGATTTTGGGGGCGGGCTAGCGGTCGCTTGGCAGGAGGTTTCCACGGCTTTTGCGCCTCGTGGCGATGGGTGTCCTGGGGTGGCTGGAGTGACCTGGCCTGAATTTGGAGGGGCAGGAATAAAACCAAGAAAGAAAACAAAACAAAAAAAACCCACTCCTGCACCTAGCCGGCATCCCTCCCCCAAATTTATAATCCTCTGTCCTTTTCCCCATCCCTTTCCCCTTTCCATCCTTTTCCCTGTCCTTTTCCCCATCCCTTTCCCCTTTCCATCCTTTTCCCTGTCCTTTTCCCCATCCCTTTCCCCTTTCCATCCTTTTCCCTGTCCTTTTCCCCATCCCTTTCCCCTTTCCATCCTTTTCCCTGTCCTTTTCCCCATCCCTTTCCCCTTTCCATCCTTTTCCCTGTCCTTTTCCCCATCCCTTTCCCCTTTCCATCCTTTTCCCTGTCCTTTTCCCCATCCCTTTCCCCTTTCCATCCTTTTCCCTGTCCTTTTCCCCATCCCTTTCCCCTTTCCATCCTTTTCCCTGTCCTTTTCCCCATCCCTTTCCCCTTTCCATCCTTTTCCCTGTCCTTTTCCCCATCCCTTTCCCCTTTCCATCCTTTTCCCTGTCCTTTTCCCCATCCCTTTCCCCTTTCCATCCTTTTCCCTGTCCTTTTCCCCATCCCTTTCCCCTTTCCATCCTTTTCCCTGTCCTTTTCCCCATCCCTTTCCCCTTTCCATCCTTTTCCCTGTCCTTTTCCCCATCCCTTTCCCCTTTCCATCCTTTTCCCTGTCCTTTTCCCCATCCCTTTCCCCTTTCCATCCTTTTCCCTGTCCTTTTCCCCATCCCTTTCCCCTTTCCATCCTTTTCCCTGTCCTTTTCCCCATCCCTTTCCCCTTTCCATCCTTTTCCCTGTCCTTTTCCCCATCCCTTTCCCCTTTCCATCCTTTTCCCTGTCCTTTTCCCCATCCCTTTCCCCTTTCCATCCTTTTCCCTGTCCTTTTCCCCATCCCTTTCCCCTTTCCATCCTTTTCCCTGTCCTTTTCCCCATCCCTTTCCCCTTTCCATCCTTTTCCCTGTCCTTTTCCCCATCCCTTTCCCCTTTCCATCCTTTTCCCTGTCCTTTTCCCCATCCCTTTCCCCTTTCCATCCTTTTCCCTGTCCTTTTCCCCATCCCTTTCCCCTTTCCATCCTTTTCCCTGTCCTTTTCCCCATCCCTTTCCCCTTTCCATCCTTTTCCCTGTCCTTTTCCCCATCCCTTTCCCCTTTCCATCCTTTTCCCCGTCCTTTTCCCTTTCCCCATCCTTTTCCCTGTCCTTTTCCCCATCCTTTTCCCCTTTCCATCCTTTTCCCTGTCCTTTTCCCCATCCTTTTCCCCTTTCCATCCTTTTCCCTGTCCTTTTCCCCATCCTTTTCCCCTTTCCATCCTTTTCCCTGTCCTTTTCCCCATCCTTTTCCCCTTTCCATCCTTTTCCCTGTCCTTTTCCCCATCCTTTTCCCCTTTCCATCCTTTTCCCTGTCCTTTTCCCCATCCTTTTCCCCTTTCCATCCTTTTCCCTGTCCTTTTCCCCATCCTTTTCCCCTTTCCATCCTTTTCCCTGTCCTTTTCCCCATCCCTTTCCCCTTTCCATCCCTTTCCCCGTCCTTTTCCCTTTTCCATCCTTTTCCCCATCCTTTTCCCTTTCCCCATCCTTTTCCCTGTCCTTTTCCCCATCCCTTTCCCCTTTCCATCCCTTTCCCCGTCCTTTTCCCTTTTCCATCCTTTTCCCTTTCCCATCCTTTTCCCTTTCCCCATCCTTTTCCCTGTCCTTTTCCCCATCCCTTTCCCCATCCTTTTCCCCTTTCCATCCCTTTCCCCGTCCTTTTCCCTTTTCCATCCTTTTCCCCATCCTTTTCCCCCTCCTTTTCCCTTTCTCGTCCTTTTCCCCTTTTCCCTTTTCCATCCTTTTCCTCGTCCTTTTCCCCTTTTCCCTTTTCCATCCTTTTCCTCGTCCTTTTCCCCTTTTCCCTTTTCCATCCTTTTCCTCGTCCTTTTCCCCTTTTCCCTTTTCCATCCTTTTCCTCGTCCTTTTCCCCTTTTCCCTTTTCCATCCTTTTCCTCGTCCTTTTCCCCTTTTCCCTTTTCCATCCTTTTCCTCGTCCTTTTCCCCTTTTCCCTTTTCCATCCTTTTCCTCGTCCTTTTCCCCTTTTCCCTTTTCCATCCTTTTCCTCGTCCTTTTCCCCTTTTCCCTTTTCCATCCTTTTCCTCGTCCTTTTCCCCTTTTCCCTTTTCCATCCTTTTCCTCGTCCTTTTCCCCTTTTCCCTTTTCCATCCTTTTCCTCGTCCTTTTCCCCTTTTCCCTTTTCCATCCTTTTCCTCGTCCTTTTCCCCTTTTCCCTTTTCCATCCTTTTCCTCGTCCTTTTCCCCTTTTCCCTTTTCCATCCTTTTCCTCGTCCTTTTCCCCTTTTCCCTTTTCCATCCTTTTCCTCGTCCTTTTCCCCTTTTCCCTTTTCCATCCTTTTCCTCGTCCTTTTCCCCTTTTCCCTTTTCCATCCTTTTCCTCGTCCTTTTCCCCTTTTCCCTTTTCCATCCTTTTCCTCGTCCTTTTCCCCTTTTCCCTTTTCCATCCTTTTCCCCATCCTTTTCCCTTTTCCATCCCTTTCCCCGACCTTTTCCCTTTCCCCGACCTTTTCCCTTTTCCATCCTTTTCCCCATCCTTTTCCCTTTCCTTTTCCCTTTCCCATCCTTTTCCCTTTCCCCATCCTTTTCCCTGTCCTTTTCCCCATCCTTTTCCCCTTTCCATCCTTTTCCCTGTCCTTTTCCCCATCCCTTTCCCCATCCTTTTCCCCTTTCCATCCCTTTCCCCGTCCTTTTCCCTTTTCCATCCTTTTCCCCATCCTTTTCCTTTTCCCCATCCTTTTCCCTTTCCCATCCTTTTCCCTGTCCTTTTCCTCATCCCTTTCACTTTACCATCCCTTTCTCTTTTTCTCTCCATCCTTCCCCTCCTCGCTTCTCCCGTCCTTTCCCCCCTTTTCCTGGCACCGGGGGGGATCGCACACATGCAGGGCCAGCTCCGAGCAGGGGGGAAAAAAACCCCAAATCCCCCCAAAACACTTTCCCGTTGTCTTTCTGGCCGTGCCAGTGTCCGTAATCCCCCCGGTTTTGTTTTGGGTCAGACTGGTTTTATTTCCGGACCTCCCACATGCCACCGCCGGTCCTGAAAACCAGCAGGGCTAGAAAATCAGTGATCTCGGACGCGGGAACCGGCGCCGCGCGCCATTTCCCGCGGGAAAAGGCTCCCTCCGTCCCCGAGATGGCCCTTTCCGGGGCGTCCGCTCGCCCGCTGCCAGCCATCTAGGAGGATAAATCCACCCAGACGGCTCCGTATCGACCTGGCGACGTCATTTGATTCTTTTTTTTTTGGCATT